TGTAGCCTATTACAGGCAACTTCAGGAGAGTAATGGCAGAATCTGCGAAAGCCAGCAGGAGCGGGTGGAGAATAGTTGAGTCAGGTAAAGTTTATTTTCTTCTAGTTATCTAAATCTCTGGTGCCCTCATGAGGCATTTGTCTTATTTCATCAAACCGTAAGCTTTAAGCATCAGATAAGCTCAATGCGTATAGTTGATTTTATTAAAACACATAGGGTGTGTCTATATATGGAAAAATATGTTTAAGAATTTCGACAAATCGATTGGTCTAAAGAACCAATCGATTGGTTGACCAATATTTTGTTTTAGTTGGGAAAGCCCTAAGACTGATATAACCCTTATCTTTTCAATTGAACCATTCATTTATCTTTCAAGATAATATGGCTATTTACTTCATTTTTCTGTTTTAATTAAATACATAATTTGAAGAACAAACATTGTAGCAATTCATATCGTACAATAAAACGGTAAATAAGACTTTTAAGGTCCAATGCAGCCGTTTTTATATCAATATGAAATCATATCTGGGTAACAATTAAGTACCTTACTGGTCAAATGGAAACAAAAATAGCTTCTTTGCAAAGAGAAATTTCAAAGAGCAAGAATTTTGCTAGGACTGTCTGGGAGTGGTCTGAGTGGAAAGGGGAAAACTGAAAACGATCTGTTATTGGCAGAGAGGTTTGGAACTCTATCTTATTGATCTATTAATGAATTAACCGCCTGGTGATGTTACCAGGCAGGCCAAAACATCATCCCACCAAAACAGGCTAAAATTTCAGGCGGTCTTTTCAAACGGCTCTTACACTAAAAGGGCATTATCATTATTTTCACAATTTCACAGTATTATTCCAACCTCATAGTGTGGAAATGTATATAAACACAGGAAAATTACGTTTTTGACTGCACTGGGCCTTTAATCTCAATAGAAGACAGGTTTAATGTTCATTTTTTCTTAGGTTTATGCCACAATAAACTAAATTGAAAGAGTAAACTAGATTTAGTCTTTCCACAATAAATACAATTGAAAGGATAGATTCGTTTTTCTGACTAGATTACTAATCTACCACCTTCCACCCACAGTGATTGATTGACCGGTCTAAAACCCTACCAACTGTAAATATAACTTGAAGAGAAGATAGGTTTAATGTTTTAAAAAGTTATCTTACTTAGAAAATAGTCCTGATCATACAGTGGGGGAAAAAAGTATTTAGTCAGCCACCAATTGTGCAAGTTCTCCCACTTAAAAAGATGAGAGAGGCCTGTAATTTTCATTATAGGTACACGTCAACTATGACAGACAAAATGAGAGAGAAAAAATCCAGAAAATCACATTGTAGGATTTTTAATGAATTTATTTGCAAATTATGGGGAAAATAAGTATTTGGTCAATAACAAAAGTTTCTCAATACTTTGTTATATACCCTTTGTTGGCAATGACACAGGTCAAACGTTTTCTGTAAGTCTTCACAAGGTTTTCACACACTGTTGCTGGTATTTTGGCCCATTCCTCCATGCAGATCTCCTCTAGAGCAGTGATGTTTTGGGGCTGTCGCTGGGCAACACGGACTTTCAACTCCCTCCAAAGATGTTCTATGGGGTTGAGATCTGGAGACTGGCTAGGCCACTCCAGGACCTTGAAATGCTTCTTACGAAGCCACTCCTTCGTTGCCCGGGCGGTGTGTTTGGGATCATTGTCATGCTGAAAGACCCAGCCACGTTTCATCTTCAATGCCCTTGCTGATGGAAGTTTTTCACTCAAAATCTCACGATACATGGCCCCATTCATTCTTTCCTTTACACGGATCAGTCGTCCTGGTCCCTTTGCAGAAAAACAGCCCCAAAGCATGATGTTTCCACCCCCATGCTTCACAGTAGGTATGGTGTTCTTTGGATGCAACTCAGCATTCTTTGTCCTCCAAACACGACGAGTTGAGTTTTTACCAAAAAGTTCTATTTTGGTTTCATCTGACCATATGACATTCTCCCAATCCTCTTCTGGATCATCCAAATGCACTAGCAAACTTAAGACGGGCCTGGACATGTACTGGCTTAAGCAGGGGGACACGTCTAGCACTGCAGGATTTGAGTCCCTGGCGGCGTAGTGTGTTACTGATGGTAGGCTTTGTTACTTTGGTCCCAGCTCTCTGCAGGTCATTCACTAGGTCCCCCCGTGTGGTTCTGGGATTTTTGCTCACCGTTCTTGTGATCATTTTGACCCCACGGGGGGAGATCTTGCGTGGAGCCCCAGATCGAGGGAGATTATCAGTGGTCTTGTATGTCTTCCATTTCCTAATAATTGCTCCCACAGTTGATTTCTTCAAACCAAGCTGCTTACCTATTGCAGATTCAGTCTTCCCAGCTTGGTGCAGGTCTACAATTTTGTTTCTGGTGTCCTTTGACAGCTCTTTGGTCTTGGCCATAGTGGAGTTTGGAGTGTGACTGTTTGAGGTTGTGGACAGGTGTCTTTTATACTGATAACAAGTTCAAACAGGTGCCATTAATACAGGTAACGAGTGGAGGACAGAGGAGCCTCTTAAAGAAGAAGTTACAGGTCTGTGAGAGCCAGAAATCTTGTTTGTTTGTAGGTGACCAAATACTTATTTTCCACCATAATTAGCAAATAAATTCATTAAAAATCCTACAATGTGATTTTCTGGAGAAAGAAAAATCCTCATTTTGTCTGTCATAGTTGACGTGTACCTATGATGAAAATTACAGGCCTCTCTCATCTTTTTAAGTGGGAGAACTTGCACAATTGGTGGCTGACTAAATACTTTTTCCCCCACTGTATATACTGAACAAAAAATACAAACGCAACATGTAAAGGGTTGGCCCCATGTTTCATGAGCTGAAATAAAAGATCCCAGAAATGTCTCTCTAATTTTGTGCACAAATTTGTTTACATCCCTGTAAGTGAGCATTTCTCCTTTGCCAAGATAATCCATCCACCTGACAGGTGTAGCATATCAAGAAGCTGATTAAACAGCATGATCATTACACAGGTGTGCCTTGTGCTGGGGACAATAAAAGGCCACAGTTTTGCAGTTTCACACAACACAATGCGACAGATGTCTCATGTTTTGAGAGAGCGCGCAATTGACATGCTGACTGCAGGAATGTCCACCAGAGCTGTTGCCAGAGAATTGAATGTTCATTTCTCTACCATAAGCCACCTCCAACATCGTTTTAGAGAATTTCACAGTACGTCCAACCGGCCTCACAACCGCAGACCATGTGTAACCATGCTAGTTCAGGACCTCCACATCCGACTTCTTCACCTGCGCTTTGTGAGACCAGCCACACGGACAGCTGATGAAACTGAGGAGTATTTCTGTCTGTAATAAAGCCCTTTTGTGGGGAAAAACTCATTCTGATTGGCTGGGCCTGGCTCCCCAGTGGGTGGGCCTATGCCCTCCCAGGCACACCCGTAGCTGCGCTCCTGCCCAGTCATGTGAAATCCATTGATTAGGGCATAATGAATTCATTTCAAGTGACTGATTTCCTTATATGAACTGTTACTCAGTAAAATCATTGAAATTGTTGCATGTTGCATTTATATTTTTGTTCAGTATAGGCCTAGACGGTATCCAAAACAATTAACACACTGAATTCATTTTAATTGCAAGTCATGTCTTTCTACTCAATACCACAATTTGGGAGGTAGAGTTGTTAAAGTATTCAATAATTTAGCTGTGTATTTCAGATGGAATCAAGGCATTATAATGTACCAGAGGCCACCAAAATAAAGCTTGTTCTGCAATTTATTTTGTGGGGGCATGCCCCCTGGACCACTGAGCCAGAGTATGTGAGCAGAGTTTGAATTGTTGGAAATCCCACTCATCTTTGTGCAACGCTCCGGCGCTCAACGTCCTTTCCCGCTTCGCAAAAAATCGCTCAGCGCTCACAGAAAAATAAATGCAGCTCCAAATTGGCTCCATTCATTTTTTGTTTCAAAATATAATTAACAAACACCTCATCTACTTTTGTGACTATGTAACATTTGGTTTTGAAGTAGGCTATCGTAAGAAGCTTCAACATTTCAATAACATGTCGTAGACTATTAAACAAGGACCTACCTGATGATATGCAGCTGCTGTGTTAAAAAACAAATAGCTTTTTCTCTAATCAGATACTTCAGTTGTAACTGGCTCTGTTGCGATTCCATTTTACAGTTGATAGACAACTTTGTAACTTCTAAACTTAGACTCTTTTTTTATTTATACAATATATAAAAATCTAAATGTCTCCGGTGCTGCTGCATGGGCTGATTTGTTGTTTTGCTATCAATTACACAGGCTGTGTGACCTATTTCATATCAACATCTCTGCGCATTGTGGTGGGGTAGGCTAAATAAATACAACAGAATAGGCCTAATTAAAAGAACAGTGATGAAGGAAATGAAAGATGCTGTGCAGAGCATGCCCAGAGTTCGTGGCTGAGCAGTACCGGAGCGAAAGAGAAGGCAGACGCTCCCCCCCAAAATTAAATCCGCTCCAGCCAAATTACGCACGCTCCGCTCCTCGCTCCACTCCGCTCACATCCTCTGGCCCGAGCCCGGAATTCCCTTGCTGGCTACTTTTTCTATTTGGCTGGCTACTCCATGTACTGCTTTTGGCCGACTGGAAATACAAACTCTGTAGTTGAACTTCTAGTGAGTCACACCACCAGAACCTGCTATGTAAAACTAATGTGAATGTGTGGGCATCTCTGAACGTTTGTTTTTCAGGTGGGTCTGAGGAGCCAGATCCAGGAGAGGACCAGCGAGGGGAGGGAGATGCTTCTACAGCCACAGAGGGACACTCTGGCTCTCAAGCAGGTAGTAGAAGAGGACTATAGCAAATAGCTGTCATAGTTCAACATCTATCCACAACATAGGACACCATAACTTCAACTTTGACATTATACACTCAATATTTGTTTTACAATGGATAAGTTTCCTCCACACTTCTTGACAGTAACTATTTTTACTCAGTGTGTGACAACTTGCTCTCTTGTCCTCATGCTTCCCTTAGCTCCCAAAGAGGCAGGAGACGGGGCTAAGGACAAGCCAATGCCAGATGCAGAGGGTGTGAGGGTGCCTGGAGAGGAGGAGGAGGACACAGACAGCATGTACGGCAGTGGCCTCTACTCCCTGACCGAGGAAGGGGAGCGAGAGAGCGAGGGAGGTAGAAGAGAGAGAGTGAATGAGAGAGATGCAGGAAAGTGGCCCGCCAGAAAGAGGAACCGTCCGAGTGGTGGCACCGCCCACCACTCCTCCAGCTCTGATGAGGATGATGAGGAAGAGGAGGAAGATCAAGAGGAGGAAGAGGACGAGCAGGCCATGGACGCGTGGCTGGGGGCGGAGCTGCGTGACCTCAGCGGGCCGTCATGGCGGGCGGTGCCCTCCCTGAAGTCGAGGGAGATTGGCCGGGGCTCGCACCAGTTTGTGAGGCGTGTGTGTGGTGCACGAGGCTTGGTCCAGAGGCTGGAGCTCCAGGGGCGCCTGGAGAGACACACTGGCTGTGTGAACACCCTGCACTTCAACCCCTCAGGCACACGCCTGGCCTCCGGCAGCGATGACCTGCGGGTGGTAGTGTGGGACTGGGCACGTCGCCGTGCTGAGCTGGAGTTTGACAGCGGGCATAAGAGCAACGTCTTTCAGGTTAGGGGAGAGGAGAATCAGGCTAGGATGGGATTGTAGAAACGAGGGGAAGATTTCTGATGTTGTTGACAGACAACCATTAGCAAGCCATTGTAAAATTAGAAAGGTAAGCTAGAAATGTGGTAGGGGACTTTTAAGAGATGTTGAAATGTACCTTTCTTCCTCCCCAGGCAAAGTTCCTGCCACACAGTGGCGACTCCACCATGGCCATGTGTGCCCGGGACGGTCAGATCAGAGTGGCTGAGCTCTCTGCCACTCAGCGCTGCAAGAGCACCAAGAGAGTGGCTCAGCATAAAGGGGCAGCACACAAGGTATGGAGACCATGTGTATACCTCAGGAGTGTGGTTGTATTCGTGATAATGAGTTTCAACATTTGCCCAAGAAGCCAGACTTTGGCTGTGGCTAAAATGACACCCTATTCTCAATATATTACATAACTTTTGACCAGAACCATACACGGCATTTGTCCTACCACTTTTAAAGGGGGGAGATCCAACTCTTTGAAATAATTATAGGCCAATCTCAAAGCTGTCACCCCTGGCAAAAATACTTGAAACCCTTGTTAGTGAACAGCTAAAATAGTTTTTATATACTAACTCTATTTTATCAATGTATCAATCGGGCTTCAGGAAAAAGCATAGCACAATTACAGCAGCCATGAAGGTTTTAAAATATATCACTGAAGTCCTTGACAAAAAACGGCACTGTCTCACTTTTTATTGATCTCTCTAAGGCTTTTGATACAGTTGATCATGCTATACTGAGGCAGAGATTGTCGAGTGTAGGTCTTTCGGAGCATGCAGTTGCATGGTTTGCTAACTGTCTGTCTGATAGAACTCAGTGCACTCAATTTGATGGGCTCATGTCTGTTAAATTGTCTGTCTGTAATGGTGTGCCCCAGGGCTCTGAACTTGGTCCCCTCTTATTCAGTATTTATATAAATAATTTAGACAAAAATTTGCTAAATGCACAACTTCACTTTTATGCTGATGTTACTGTTATTTATTGTTGTGCCTCGTCTCTCACAAAAGCTTTCCAGAACTTGCAAACTGCTTTTTATACTGTTAAACATACCTCGTGTCAATTGAAGCTTATCCTCAATGCTGACAAAACTAAACTAATGGTGTTTTCTAAAGCAAGAAATAGACCACTGAACCTATTTCTACCTGTCAGGGCAATGAGATTGAGGTTGTAACCTCATATAAATATCTTGGAATTTTAATTGATGACAGCCTTTTAAATAGCATATTCAACAACTTACAAAAAAATTTAAGCTGAAGTTGGGATTTTATTTTAGGAATAAGGCCTGTTTTTCTTTTGAAGCCAGAAGGAGGCTAGTATCAGCTACATTTATGCCTATACTAGACTATGGAGATATTTTATATATGAATGCTTCCGCTCAGTGTTTGAGATCAGTAGACACCCTTTATCATGGAGTATTGAGATTTATTTTAAACTGCAAAACCCTTACGCACCATTGCACTTTATATACCAGGGTTGGCTGGCCTTCTCTAGTCACTCGTAGGCTCAGTCACTGGTATACTTTTATTTACAAAGCCATTTTGGGTTTACTACCATTTTATCTAGGCATTTTTATTCTTCAGAAATGTGGTGGGTACTCCCTAACTGTTCCAAATGTCCGAACTGAATTTGGTAAAAGGGCTTTCATGTACTCTGCGCCATCGGCTTGGAACGCCTTACAACATACTTTTAAACTGGAAGAACCTGTCCCAATTGGTGTTTTTAAATCATTGATGACGGATTTTGGGGCAGATTCCTTGACCTGTCAATGTTTTTAAATTGCTATTTTATGATTTTGTTATGCTCCTGTAATTTCTATGGATGTTTACTAGATTACTTGTAGTTTTTCATGTTGTCTCTCCGTAATTGTGTAATGACTTGGTGCTGCCTATCTCAATGAGCCTTTCCTGGTTAAATAAAGGTTAAATAAAATGTTAAAAAATAAAACATTAAGAACACCTTCCTAATATTGAGTTGTGCCCTCAGAACAGCCTCAATTCGTCTGGGCATGGACTCTAATGGTGTCGAAAGCGTTCCACAGGGATGCTGGCTTATGTTGACTCCAATACTTCCCACAGTTGTGTCAAGTTGGCTGATTGTCCTTCGGGTGGTGGACCATTCTTGATACACACGGGAAACTGTTGAGTGTGAAAAACCCAGCAGCGTTGTAGTTCTTGACACAAACCGGTGCGCCTGGCACCTACTACCATACCCCGTTCAAAGGCACTTAAATATTTTGTCTTGCCCATTTACCCTCTGAATGGCACACATACACAATCAATTTCTCAATTGTCTCAAGGCTTAAAAATCCTTTAACCTGTCTTCTCCCTTCATCTACACTGATTGAATTGGCTTTAACAAGTGACATCAATAAGCGATCATAGCTTTCACCTGGATTCACCTGGTCAGTCTATGTCATGGAAAGAGCAGGTATTCTTAATGTTTTGTACACTCAGTGTATGTCAGCTTTGGTAGGGCACAATGTGGAGAACTGGTTGTCATTTGAGATGCAGTAGTTCTAAGCCTTTTTAAGCTGAGACCTGAGATTATTTAAGTGTGTTGTTTGTGTTTGTTTTTGTGTGTGTGTGTGTTTGTCAGCTGGCCCTGGAGCCAGACTCTCCCTGCTCCTTCCTGTCGGCTGGGGAGGACGCCATAGTGTTTGGCATCGACCTGCGCCTCGACCGGCCTGCCAAGTGAGTGATAACGCCATTACTGCAAGATCGCCTGGACGTTACTGTACTAAAGCCATTCGTTTTCCCTGTCCATGTGACCAGACCAGGAAAAACTCCAGGCCCAATGTATAACATAACAGCCGTTTAACCCTTTTCCCACTATTTGTTTTGCTCTTTTCCTTTTCTCTCAGTAAACTGGTGGTGGTGAAGGAGGGGGATAAGAAAGTGGGGTTGTACACCATATTTGTGAACCCTGTCAACACACACCACTTTGCTGTGGGTGGGAGAGATCAGTATGTCAGGTGAGACTCAAATCCCTTTTATAGGTCTATCGTAATCGTAAAGCAGAGGAAGTGCAAAGTGCATTCTCTTGGATTCTGCACGTTCTTACTATGTTCTCTCTCTTACCTCTCCTCACCTTCAAAATTTTTAGGATCTATGACCAGAGGAAGATTAATGAGAATGAAAATAATGGCGTACTGAAGAAGTTCTGTCCATCTCACCTGGTGTCCAGCGAGTCCAAAACTAACATTACCTGCTTAGTGTACAGTCATGATGGCACAGGTAAAACACATGACTCAAAAACACGTTTATTCAGAAGTCTGACGTCCTCTAGCTGTTGCTGTTATAACTGTCCTCATGTCTGTTCTCCCCATCAGTGACCATGTCTCTCTGTCTGTCTGTTCAGAGCTCCTGACTAGTTACAACGATGAGGACATCTACTTGTTTGACTCCAGCCACAGTGACGGTGCAGACTACCGCAGGAGATACAAGGGCCATCGCAACAACGCTACAGGTACTGGGGAAGAAAGGGGAAGGAATGATTATGAACTAGTCAATTATAAGTCAAGAAAACAGCAACACATACACAGGATAGGTGCAGTGAAATGTATTATCTTTACAGGTCAGCCATTGTAGTACGGCGCCCCTGGAGCAAATTAGATTTAAGTGCCTCGCTCTAGGGCACATTGACAGATTTTTCACCTTGTCGGCTCAGGTATTCGCACCAGCAACCTTTCGCTTACTGGCCCAACGCTCTAACCGCTAGGCCACCTGCCGCCCTACCTAAGTAACATGAACACTAGCGTATTACCATGTTATAACTTGGAATTCCAGTGTAATAAGCTGCCACTCTCCCTGTCTCTCTTTCCCTCTTCTCCCTCCCTCTCTATTTCTCAATTTCACAGTGAAGGGGGTGAACTTCTATGGCCCTAGCAGTGAGTTTGTGGTCAGTGGCAGCGACTGTGGACACATCTACCTGTGGGACAAGGTCTCCGCTCGCATTGTCCAGTTCATGGAGGGAGACAGAGGTGGAGTGGTGAGAGAGGGAGGGAGGGAGGGAGGGATGGAGGGTGGGAAGATGTATGTTGTAAAGTGGTTATCCCACTGGCTATAAGGTGAATGCACCAATTTGTAAGTCGCTCTGGATAAGAGCGTCTGCTAAATGACGTAAATGTAAATAGAAAGGGCCTCGGCGCTTTGAGGAAATTGGCGAGCGCAAGCAATAGTCTCAAACAAAATTGTACAGTATCAGTTTCAAAGTTTCATGCTCACTTATTAATCTCAATCTGTCACGTCACGCTTTATCTCATCCTCTGTTCCCAGGTCAACTGCCTGGAGCCCCACCCTCACCTCCCAGGTCTGGCCACCAGTGGTCTGGATCATGACGTTAAACTGTGGGCCCCCACTGCCGAGAATCCCACAGGGCTCAAGGGCCTCAAAGACGTACGGTTCATACCATTATATCCAGACAAACCACAACATATCACCAATATCCCAAACATTCCACAACATATAGGCTTGGATACTGCATACCAAACTGTGAATTTTGATGTGACTGGTTGTTCAGGTGATGAAGAAGAACAAGCATGAGCGTGACGAGGACAGTGTTCGCCATGGAGACCAGTACGACACACAGCTCCTGTGGTTCCTCATGAGGCACATGAGAAACAGACGGCCCCAGAGGGTGAGTGGAACACCATAACCCACCCTCCATGTGTCATCTCTATTCCAGTAATCAAATCAGTGCACTCCAATCTCTCTCTCTCTCTCTCTCTCTCTCCAGTAGTAGTTAGTGACAATTGTGTTGAGGTTGAACATTCTCTTTTTTCTTTCTCTCCCTCTCTCTCCCTTTTTTTTTTCCAGACACGTCGCGAGGGTGCAGAGGGAGACACTGATGAATCGTGGAGCTCTCCAGATTCCTCTGATGAAGAGGATGGAGGGCCAGACCACGTCCAGTGCATGTCCTCCTGAGCCAAGGAGACATGCAAGAGTACACACACACACACACACACACACACACACTCTTTATTGCCCTAGCATTGATGCACATAGGCAGGCACTATCGACACACTGGCACACACATGAACACTGAGAGACCATGAAGTAACAGTAAAGGTATTCACATGCATACACACACACACACACACACACACACACACACACACACACACACACACACACACACACACACAGGCAGACATATAAGTACATACACACAGCTGAGGGGTAGGGAGGGTGACTAGTATACACCAAGACACAAAATCTCACTTCTAATCCGACAGGGAGTGAATTGGAGACAGTTTTGCTCATACAGTCTGCTGATACAAATAGTCTCAACCCTGATTTTGATCTAAACTGTGTAAGAGGGAGGCTGATGAGTGCTCACATCCCTAGACAACCACTTGGACTCGTACACCCATACATATGCTCTGCCAAGCCCCTGAGAACATAAGCACTTCAACATCATACACATTTCACAATCCGCTGTACATCATCTGCAGAGCACACATTACCCCACTCTCCTTAACAACCTCTCTCCCCCATACTTTTCTGTTGGTGATGGCAGAAATGGAGTGATGGGAAATACACCTTCCAACCTCTGATCATCCCCCAATTCACTCCATAGATTTCAAACCAGAGCCCCTTACACGTTCTACACCCTCTTCTTCTCTAAGTTAGCCTCAGAACATCAGCAGTTAGCCTCAGAACATCAGCACGTGGCCAATCAGTTTAGCCCCCCATAGTGCACTTTAATCAGGGATGTATGGCGTGAGTTTCTTAGACAAAGTGTGCGTTTGGCGGCCAACCATGCAATATGAACACCTCAGTGACGTAAAGGTGTGCTCGTGTAAAAGGAGAGACATTTGACTCTAGTTGTTTCGTTTGGGATTTGCACTTAGCAGGAGTGTCTAAAACAGCTCCAGCTGGAGCGAGGAGAAAGAAAGAATCCCTCTGCTTCCACCAATTTAACCTCACCCATCCTCCTCCTCCTTTACACTCCTCCTGGAGGAGCACCCTGACCTCAGCCCCTCCCTCCCTAAGCCATCCTCTCTTCCTCTGAGAGTACATTTCGCTGAGACGGTGAGCTGGAGGGCTACTGAGGAACACCTGGATGGTCTCATTGCGTAATGCATACAGTAAATACATCCAAAAGGTTTCTCACTTTTCTGTTCGAGAAACCCTGATGATAAGGCCCTAAGCCTCGGGTCCTGCTACCTACATCCACGGCTCATGCCAGCTGTCGGGCATCTGCCAGAGATCAGACTCCATAAAGAAGGAACGGGGTTTGATCAGGCTCTGGAGATCAGATGTAGAAACTGCTGTTTGGCTCTCTTTTTGACCTGTGTGGGCTTTCAGAAGCCATTCTTCTCTGTATCTGGGCCCATCTGCCCAGTCAGGCCTCTGGGTCTGTGTTATAGCATTCAGGCCAGGGGGACAGAAGAAAGGAGGATCGATCTGCTTGCCAGTTGTTGTTTTTTTTTTGTGTGTGAGAGCGATAAAGTCCAGCTTTTTCTCATTTTGTATGAGAATTATAGAAGTTAGATCAATTGATATGTACATATATATATATATTAAAACTGTAAAGAAATCATCTTTAGCAAATAATGTTTGACTTAAGAAAAAAATTGTCTAAATATTTGATTGGTATTGATGCAGAGGTTTATATTATATATGAGGACAAAGTACTTTTAAAATGAAGAGACAACGATGACGTCATTTTTTTTTTTGTAAATGACCTCCCCAATTGTTACATTATCCTATATCGGCAGGATTCAGTTGAACATGAATTAAGTTTGGTTCCTTTTCATTTTCAATGTTTAATTTTCTCCCTTCAAGATCTTGACCTATTTTTCTTTGTTCACATCGTTTAAGCTTTTGATCAATGATTTATTCCACTGCTGCCTAATATTGTGTTCTACTGGTGCAGTTGGAAACATGTACCTTTTGTGCAATAAACAGAAGACCGTGTCCCTTGTGTTATTTTGACATTGGTTGTTTTAACTGTTTCAGGCATCAGAGGGGTATTCCAGAAAGCTGGATTAGTGAGTTTGCGAGATCTGTCAAACCAGAATTTGAGCAATCTCAGAATTTCTGGTTCCAGAAAGAGAGCTTGATGTATAGCCTGATCAGAAACCTTAGCAACAAATGCGCTGAAGCAAACCTGCTACCTACTAGGTTAACTTGATCTTAGCCTGGCCTGGTGAATAAAGACGGGTCTCTCCGCCAATCAGATTCTTGTCCGTCACTATGAACTGTCCTTGTCCGTCACTATGAACTGTCCCTTTGCGGAAAATCCAATTGACATTGGAGCCTGCATTGTTCTCCCTGCATTACAAAGGGAATGAGTTATTGCACCTCGAATAGATCCTTTAGATCAGTGGTTCCCAACCAGGGTTACTAGGACCCCTGGGTGTACTTGAAAAGACTCATGAGACCATAGGTTGGGAACCACTGCTTTAGATCATTCAGAAGATTTTCTTTCGGAACGTTATAGTTTTTCCGCACGATCAATCATATCTGGCCAACATACTCAACCCCTAGCAAAGTAACCCAATGCGGTTTCGCTTTCACTGCTATACAAACTGTATTGCTTAGCGATTTTTTTGCCACTGGAAGTTTCCTGTACTCCTGTACAATGTGGGTGATGCGGAACAATTTGGCAAGGCAACTGTGTGTAGAGCCGTAAGAAGAGTCTGCTTCGCATTGAAGAGATGTTTTAATGTCTTTGTTGAATTCCTTGGTCATCAAGCTGTCCAAATAATCAAGGAGGACTTTTACAGAATTGCAGGTCCAGTAGGCTGCGGTCAGTTGACTGCCAGCGATGCTTTGCTAATCTCAAATTGATAAGACTAGGCAACATGATAAAAATGATAAATAGCCAAATTCATCACGTAGATTCCAAACGTCATTGGTTCTATAGATGGGACATATCCTAATTCAAAGACCAAATGAAAGAGACTACGTGAATAGAACATATTTTCACAGCATAAACAGGTAGCTATTGAATACTGTAGCCTACATCTTCACCAAACCTAATCATTTTCAGAAATGATCTTCCTTACTTATTTTTTCAGATCTGTGACTCCCATAGGGTTACAACTGAACATAGCACACATTGTTTCCCGTGTTGTCATGAAATTCGAATTCAACAAATTATTATTCATCCTACATAGGCTATGGAATGGGCGGGCCTACCATTGCAACTGTGACAGGCTACTACAACTTACATACAGTATTAGGCCATAGCCTTGACATGTAATTTCACCAGTGTTGCAATGAAAGTGCTCTATAAAGTGAAAGCATTATTACTAATCTGCCATGTGTGTAAGCTTGGCCTATTCGATATTGAATTTGTGCTACTTCACTTATGCATTTACTCTGTCTGCAATTGTATGCCAGGCTCCCTCTCTGGCTTTTGCGGCAGGGGATGTATTACTTTTTTGGGTAAATATGTGAACATATTTATTGTATGTTACAATTGTTTCTTGTTCTGGGGTATGCCTTTTGACTCCATATCTATCATCTACCTTTTTGAATGTTGCATGCAATCTGAGATTCGCTTAGCCTAATTACTTAAACGAGAAGCAGCCATTCTGGAACCAATAAATTCCGGACTCCCTTATCTGGTTAAGAAAAGCTGAATATGTTCAGGGAATCCTGAATTTGTTAAACCATCTTTCTGGAATACCCCCCAGGTTGAGCTTACTCTTTTAAAGCAAGTTTAACACAGAAGTTCCCGTTTGACCCACACATTGGTCAAAAGTTTTGTCTAAAATGTACTAGAATAGAAGTCTTCAGCAGCCAGATTCAAAAACACTTTTTTATTCCAACAACTAGAGAGGAAGGAAATAATTTGGAGAGAAAAAGTAGAGACAAATACACCAACAAATCATTACATTTGACATGGTTGTATAGTGGCTTTTGTCTAAACTTGTCCGAGGTCTGGGGGACAGAACAAAAATGGATATCCCAGGTGGTCTGTGTGTCCTTTAGCCATCTTCTGTTGTTTATTGAGGTCGAGGAGTTTGCTAATGCATAAAATGATCTGGCTACTAGGCTAGAGACTACCCAACATAATAGCTCCAACATACAACTCCACACACACTATTGAAAACCACTTGCTCTTTTTTTATCAGCAAGATAAGACATGAATGAAGACAAGAATTCAATCAATCAAATGTATTTCATACAGCCCTTTTTACATCAGCAGTTGTCACAGTGGTTGCAGGTTCACCTGCCTCATCTGAAGCCGCTTCTTTTAGGGTGCTGCTATAGGCCACCAAGATAAATGTATTTTCTTGGTGACCTGAACATTGACTGGTTATCATCTAGTTGTCCTCTCAAGAGGAAGCTTTTTACTGTGACTAATGCCTGTAACATAACCCAGGTTATCACTCAACCAACTAGTTTATACCATAGTGTTTGGATCTGTGACACATCCACTTGTATTGATCGTATTTTCACCAATGATGCAGAGCTTTGCTCCAAAGCAATATCAGCTCCCATTGGCTGTAGTAGTGACCCTAACATTGTGGCAATAACAAGGAAAGCCAAAGTACCAAAGGCAGGGCCTAAATAATTTATATGAGATCATACAAAATCTTTTCTCAGGACTCTTTTGTTAAAGATGTAAAAACATTTATATTGGTCTGATGTGTATAAGGAGGAGAATCCATATTTGTACAATTATTCTTGCCAGTTGTTGACAAACATGCACCTGTTAAGAAACTAACTGTGAGAACTGTTAGAGCCCCCTGGATCAATGATAAATTGAACAATTGTATAGTTCAAAGAATTTATGCAAAAGAAGTGGCCAACATGTCAGGCTGCTCAGCTGATTGGTTGACACATTGTAAATTGAGAAAATTTGTGGCTAAACTTAACAAAGAAAATAAGAAATTATATTACCAAAACAAGATAAATGGCATAAAAAACAAGGGGAAAATACCTTAGAAATTCTTAAATTATATTATGGGCAGAAAACCCAATTCATCTCCATCGTTCATTGAAGTCGATGGGTAATTCTTAACAAAACCTTTTGATATAGCCAATCATTTCAATGACTATTTCACCAGTAAAGTGGACAAACTGAGAAGTGAAATGACAATATTGAACAGTTAACCATCATATTTGTGTATT